TTCCAATCCAACGTGCCAGTTGTCCCTCTGGGTTTTTTAATGAATTTAAGCAGTGTAATTCAGCAAGGTCTGTCCTGATGGTAAACCTAGCCCCATAGAGATAAGGATGGAAATATGTCAGACTCTTTACTACAGCGAGTGTTGTCTACTCAGGACCCTACTGAAGTAGGCCACCACATGTTCGTTTTCACCCACTTTCTGAGACAACACTCGTCCAATTCCGACATTATTAGCATCGCAATCCAGTATATACGGCAGCGAGGGATTTGGAAGCTTTAAAAGTGGAGATGAGGCAAATTTTTCTTTCAATGTCTTGAAAGCATGCTGGCAGTAAACTGTCCATTTGAACTTCTGTCCTTTTTTTGGTTAAATCATGTAGTGGAGCAGCTAGAGTTGCAAAGTCTTTCACAAACTTCTGGTAATAGGTAAAGAATCCCAAGAAACTTCTTAACTCTCCCACATTGTCTGGTGTTGGCCAATCACACACTGCCTTCACCTTGTCAAGATCAATTTGCACACCATGCTCACTTACAATATGACCCAAGTAAAGCACCTCTTTCTTCAACAAGTGGCATTTCTGGGGATGGAGTTTGAGGTTTGCTGCTTTCAAACACTTGAATACTTCCTCTAGACGGGACATTTCCTCATGAAACGTTGTTGCAAACACAATGACATCATTCAGATACACTAGAGCTATCCTCCATTGTAGGCCTTCAGTACTCTTTCCATCAGCCTCTCAAATGTTGCTGGAGCATTGCTAAGCCCAAATGGCATGACACAGTAATGCCAGAGACCTTGGCCATAACTAAATGCAGTGTTAGGTTTATCTGCTTTAACAATTTTTACTTGATGGAAACCTGACTCTAAGTCCAGAGTTGAAAACCAGCTGGCTCCACTTAAGGCATCGAGAGTATCATCAATTCTTGGCAGTAGGTACGAGTCATTTTCAATTATACTGTTAAGAGCCCTGAGGTGCACACAGCAACATTGGGTCCCATCCTTCTTCTGGATTAACACGATGGGAGCTGACCAGGGACTATCCACGACCTTGTCCATCTCTTGTCGCTTTGCCGGGGCTATTCTCCTCGGAGGGATCTTTATTGGATGGTGATTGCCTGTGTTTATTCTGTGCTCTACAAGGTCTGTGCAGCCAAGGTAATGATCTTTATTCGTAAAGACGTCTGCATAATTTGCCAAAAGTTCCCTCACCTGAAGAGCCTGTGATGATGACAAATGGACTTTGCTCTTATAGAGGTCAGTTAAATGTTCTGGGAGAGGATGTCTTTTGTTTATGGTTGTATTTCTTGCCTTAACATTGACTGGCTCTACCCCTACTCCGTAGATTAGTCCAGTGACTTTCATGCCTAAACCTTCGGACGAGATAAGGCTATACATAGATATGCAGAGAGCTAATGAGAAATCCAGAGATCACAACATTTGTGACCCAAAAAGGTCTTTATCATTATAAACGACTTGGGTTCGGTATTTTTTCAGCACCCAAAACTTATAAGTACTTCATTTGGTAAAATTTGCAGGGATGTGTACGAATTGTACGTTGACAAATGGTCTTCTGCTTTTTATACTCGATATAATCGTCTAAGAGCTTTTTT